TGTGTCTCCCTCTCTCTCTGCCCCTCCCCTGCTCTTGCTCTGCCTTTCTCTCTCTCTCTCAAAAATAAATGTTTATTTAAAAAAAATTTTTTTTAACATTTATTTATTTTTGAGACAGAGAGAGACAGAGCATGAGCAGGGGAGGGTCAGAGAGAGAGGGAGACACAGAATCCAAAGCAGGCTCCAGGCTCCAAGCTGTCAGCAAAGAGCCTGACGTGGGGCTCGAACTCACGGACCACGAGATTATGACCTGAGCCAAAGTCGAACGCCCAACCGACTGAGCCACCCAGGTGCCCCAAAAATAAATAAATATTTTTTAAAAATTAAAAAAAATAGCAAGTCTCGGGGAGCCTGGTTGGCTCAGTTGGTAGAGCATGCCCCTGTTGATCTTGGGGTTGTGAGTTCAGGGGTGTACATAAAAAAATAATAATTACAAAAAAAACCCATTATCTTTATTTCATTTTTATTTGAGAGAGAGGGAGAGAGAAAAACTGTGTTTGAGCAGGGGAGAGGGACAGAGAAAAAGGGAGAGAATCCTAAGCAGGCTCCATGCGCAACACAGAGCCCAATGTGGGGCTCAATCCCACAACCCTGGGATCATGACCTGAACTGAAATCAACAGTCAGACGCTCAACCAACTGAGCCACCCAGGTGCCCTGAAAAAAACCCCATTATCTTTAAAAAAATAGCAAGTCTCCCCCATATTCCCTGTCTTCCTTTTTTCTGCTCTATTTTCTCAATAGCACTAATCTCCACTTCACATACAGTTAAGAACTGTACAGCCTGTGTGATTTTACAGTATTTACAAACTAATAAACTGTCACTGTTTATTATTGTTTAGTAATAGTCCATTACTGTTTCATGGATGCTGGCAGAAGACATGAAACTCCTGGGTAAGATTTGTCTCTTATGTTTCCCATTACTCATGGTAAAACCAGTAGCTAGGGCTTTATGTTTGTGTGCGCCAGTGCCCCATGTCCCCCGAGGGCATGTCCCCCCCAAAGGACCCATCATGGAGGCCCATACACCTGGTGGATGGCAGCCCCGAGGAGGAACACGGGGATTAGAGATTCACTGCTTTTATAGTGAGTGGTAGGCATGCCTGTTCTTTGTCGGGGATTGGGGGAGATGTCACCTCATTCTCCAAGGTTGCTGCAAACACCACCCTGAGACAACCCCGGGGAAAGAGCTTTCAGGGCCTTGCCATACCCAGCAAGAACCCGCAGGGATGCTCCAGGGCCCATGGCAGATTGCTTCTCCCAACAGCTATATAATTACTTGCTCACTGTCTGTCTCTCCAGCTAGAGCATAAGACACATGAGAGCAGAGACTTTGTCATTTTGCATGTCCAGCCCTTTAAAAAGTGCCTGGTACATGGTAGTCGCTCAGTAATTATTTGTTGAATGAATGGATTGATTTACATCCATTGATCCTTTCATCATTTCCTAGGGCAGACCCAATGCGCCACCCTGAGAATACAGATGAATCAGACATTATCAACTCTGGGGTGGGGGAGTCAGACCCTGATCACACAGTGTGCTCACTGCTGTGATACCTAGAACAACAGAGGCATATTCTCATCTAACCTAAACCCTCACTGCGGACTAAACTATATTTTGCTTAGAAAGAGCTGGAAATAAATGACTTCATGGAGTCCCTGCCCCAGCACAGATGGGCTTTGATTCCTCCGGCAGAGGGTGTGGAAGAGACTCACCAAAAGTCTGAGAGTAATGAGTGCTCTGAACATAAAGTAAGGTGGGCTGGAGGACAGGGCAGACAAGAAGAAGCTATGTTAGGTCAGGGGAGGCCTCTGGAAGAAGGTGATGTGTTTTCTTTGTCATTTTATTAAATTTGTTGTAAAATTTATTTATTTATGTTGAGAGAGAGAGAGGACAGGCAGAGGAGGGACGGAGAAAGAGGGAGAGAGAGGATCCTAAGCAGGCTCCGTGCCACCAGCGCAGAGCCCAATGTGGGGCTTTAAGGCACGAACCGTGAGATCATGACCTGAACCGAAACCAAGAGTTGAATGCTTAACCGACTGAGCCACTCGGGGGGCCCCCGAGAAGGTGGTGTTTGAGGGACACCTGGGTGGCTCAGTCGGTTAAGCGTCCAACTCTTGATTTCGGCTCAGGTCATGATCTCACAGTTCGTGAGTTCGAGCCCCACATCATCGGGCTCTGCACCGACAGTGCGGAGCCTGCTTGGGATTCTCTCTTCTTCTCTCTCTGCCCCTCCCCTGCTCTCTCTCTCTCTCTCTCTGAAAAAAATAAATTAATTTAAAAAAAAGACAGAAGGTGATATTTGAGCAGATGCCTGAATTTAGTGGGAGAGGAGCCAGTTCAGTACGTTGAAGAAGAGGCTTTGGGCAGAAAGCAGGTGCTGAGAGCCTGGGGGGTGGGAGGGTGGGGAGCACCCCTGTCACTTCTGAGGAGCAGCAGTGAGGCCAGTGGCTGAAGTGGGTGGAATGAGGAGAAACTGGGGAGAATGAGGTCTCAGAGGTGACTGAGGTCCTTAGAGTGTCACAAAGAGATTCTGGCTCCGGCCAGCACTTTCTAGGAGGGGCTGAGCTGAGACCCATTCAATCAACACGTGCTGTGTGCCTGCCTCAGGCCAATGCTGGTGCTGGGCACTAGTGACCCAGGCACCAGAGGTGTCACCCCTGCTTCCGTGGTAGAAGGACAGATAGCAACGACCAAAGCAGCACGGTTGGTGAGGGCCGCCCCAGGGAGCGGAGGAGCCCAGATGCATGAAGGGTCCCTGGGGAGCCACGGCTACACTTCGCTGGGGGAGGTGATTATTGGCTGCGGTGCTAAGATGAGTTGGTGCTTGTCACACGGGCAGTGCAATACACAATAGTCGTGAGTAGAATCGCACCGTGATGAAGGGTGGGGATTGGCAGGAGGGGCAGACCCAGGCCTGGATGGAAACTCTTGTATCAAGAACACCCAGGGGTGCCTGGGTGGCTCAGTCAGTTGAGCATCTGAATCTTGATTTTGGCTCAGGTCACGATCCCAGTGCTCAGTGTGGAGCCTGCTTGGGATTCCCGCCCCCTCCCCCCAACCCCCAGAACACCCAGAGCTGGCAGGGCTGTCAGACGCTCTCTGGGATACTGTCTCTGAAATCAGCTTCTGTGGAACTCTGTGGAGATACCTCAGGGATGCTGGAGGGGACAAGGAGAAGCTGAGTGGGTAGAATCCAGAAAGCCCACCCTGTTATTTCACAGAAGCAGCTCAGGCTTTGTCTCTATTACATATTGAGCTTCCCCTAGTTCTGAAAAAATATCTTTAATGCTCGTTCATTTTTGAGAGAGAGAGAGTGCATGCACTCTCAAGTGGGGCAGGGACAGAGAGAGGGGGACAGGGGATCCAAAGCAGCCTGATGCCGGGCTTGAACCCACGAACCATGAGATCATGACCTGAGCCAAAGTGGGACGCTTAACCAGCTGAGCCACCCAGGCACCCCAAGCTTCCCATAGATTTTTGTGGAAATAAAGAATCCTGTGGCTGGTTTCTCTGTGCCCCTTTGTCTTCCCTCCCCCAACTCCGATCTGTTCTCCTACTCCAAACTGTTGAAAAGCGCTTTGGAGGCTTTGCTCACAATTGTCCAATACTGGAAACAACCCAAATGTCCTTCAGTGGTCAACAGATCAACAAGTTGTGGTATACTGATAAATGGAACAGCATCGGTGAGCAACAAAAGCGCTGTGCTGAGGGAGAGGCCCAGACACAAACGAGTGCGTGTTGTATTTGAGTCCATTTACGTGGACCCACCATGGTGGGTAGTCAGATTTAGTGCCTGGCACATAATACGTGCTACCTCCTTGTTTGTTCTTACTCTCTGAGCCTCAGTTTCCCTAACTGTAAAATGGGGATAAGAAATAGGATCCATTTCTTAAGGTCGCTGCGAATGTTTAACAAGATAATGCCTAAAGAGCTTTTAGCACCAGGCTGCATCAGAACCAGCATTCATGTAACATTACATATTGAGGAGCCCTGAATTGGGCTCTGGGGCGAACGAGGAGCCTGCTTGGGATTCTCCCTCTCTCTCTGCCCCTTCCCTGCTCACATTGTGCACGTATGCACGCATGCACTCTCTCTCTCAAAATTAATAAATAAACTTAAGAAATTAAAAAAAAAGAGTTGTATTTTACTCCATGTAATTTGTCTTAATACAAACCCCTCTGTGAACTCAAACTCATTCCCTTTGCCCTATATATGCTGGAGAGGACCTACGACCCTTGCAGGGGTCCAGATGGGCCCAGAGCTGGCAGGGTGTCTGTGGGGTGGGGGACCCAGGGTCCTGAAGGCATCTCCCCCACAGCCTTCCCCACCTGCCTGTCCTCAGATTTCTGGGAACGGACTCTCTGGGGAGGGGGTTCCTTGAAGCCTCTGGCCTCTGGGGCCACTCTGTCCTCCTGAGACAATAACCACTGCTGTTTATGGGATGCACACTGGGCGCCTGACACTTTGCTGACACTCTGTCCATAGCACAGGAGGGAGGGCCCAGGCTTGGGGGATGGACCCCTTACCCCACCCCCACTCCCCAGCTTTGTCACTGAGAAGCTGAATGACCTAGATGAAGGAGACGGTAAGCAGCATCACGTCTCTGAGCTGAGGCTGCCTCGTCCCCACATGGGCTGTCAGCACCACTGAGAGCAGAATGAAGTGATGTGTGGGGGTCCTCAGTGCCTGGGAGTCACAGCCATCTGAGGCTCTATCCCAGCCCAGGGGATCTGGGGGGCTGGGTGAGGCAGAACCTGGGTGGGGGCCTGAAGGCCGGGCTAGGCTCTGACTGTGGCATTGTGACTTTCTTGCTGTGTGACCGTGGAAGATGGATACATGAATTAATATAAATAAAGCACTGAAGCAGTGTCCACATTGGACCAATGTGTCTGGAGTCCCTGTCTCAGAATTGATTCTCTCCTCTATGACATATGGCCCTTGTTGGCTCTACTTGTCATTACTTCTGTGTCCCCACCCGCTTGCCAGGGACCCTCATCTCTCCCTACCCACAAACGGCAAGCCTCCAAACCCTTCCATTTATCTCAGCTGGGGTTCCCTCCTCTCCAGACTCAGCAACCACGGGACTCAGCAACCTTCCGGGTGGTTTCCATTCCTCCCCGAATTCTCCCAACCCTGCCCTGTCATTTCTGTACCACGTGCACAGTGCGAGGGATCCAGAAGAGAAGGCTGGTTGCCAGGGCAACGGAGGATAAAGCCCTCGCTCTGCCAGGCTGCTGATTGGCTGAGATACGTCCCGCCTCCTGCCATCCTGAGGGTCGGGGGCAGAGGGAAGTGTCTCCTGGTGGGCAGGGAGACCTACCAGTGTGCCTTGCCAGCCCAGGACTGCCCCCTCCCAGCCCCGTCAGAGTCCTGGGCCTGAGAAGCTCTGTCTCCCACGGGAGGCAGTGGCCTCGCCCTTTCTCTGCCTCCAGCACCCAGGGCCGCTGCAGATGGCAGTGTCTCTGGGGACAGCAGCTACGACTGAGTCCACAGGCCGACATTGAGCTGCTCAGGCCGAGGCGGTGCGCTCAGCACAGAGCCCCTGGAACAGGCATCTGCAGGTCGTGAGGTGGGTCTGCGGACAAGCAGGGGGTGGGGGGGAAGGGGCACCGAGTAGTGCCAATGCCTTGGGGGGGCCAGAAAGAGGGGCTCTACGACCCTCACACTGTCCTGGATGGGACTTTGGCTAGAGTGGGGGCTGGAAAATTCCTTATAGATCATCTGGAAACCCCCCCCCTCCCACCTTGTCACTGTGCATGGGGAACCCTGAAGCCCAGAGAGGGTGAGGAGTAGCCCAAGGTCACACAGAGAGCCAGTGAGTGATTTGTCTCAACCAGGAGAAGGTCTAGGGGTCCTCAGTCTGCCCCAGAATGGTTTTTATCGCAGGGCTAGAGAGGTTGGGGGGCCCTAAGCTGGGGTCCACAGATTCACACCATTGCAGCCAAAATTGCTACAACTCTGCCCAAGTTCCTCATTCTCATGTTTAAGCTGCAGGGGGACTGGGGTCCTGCCTGTAGCCAAGGGTGGGACACGAATCTTTTGGCCTCAGTCAGGTTAGTTTGGAGCAGCCTTCCTGCTTGGGAGCCCCCTTTCCCAACTTCCCCTCAACAGGCAACGCCAAGCGATTCTGAACTCTTTGGCTTTCCAGAAAGGCAGATGGTTAGGAGGGCATGACTAGGGCACCTTGAGACATTGTGCTTCGGAATAGCCAACGGGGACCTGGGGGGCCAGGGGCGGGCCCCAGGATGGCTACCCCTGGGAAGCAGCATCTCTCCCCCCCCGCCCCCACCCCGGGGTCACAGCCCGCCTTGAAGACCCACCTGGAAGTAATGGGACAAGGGGAGCTGGGGTTTGGAGACAGAGGTCTGAGGAGCTAGGGCTTGTCTTTACCCTGTCCTGGAGGCCGCTCCATCTGTCCCCTCTCTTCCCTCCCTCAGAAGCCACGGGGGACCTCTGCTCATTTCATTCTGCTCAGGGATCTTTACCCACCCCACAGGACTCAAACCTCAGGCCATCTCAGGGGGTTTAGGGTCCAGCTCTTAGTTCCCTTCCAGTTGGACAACCCAGGGCAAGTCAGTGAACCCGTGTGGGCCTCAGTTTCTTCATCTGTAAAATGTAGCCATTAACACCTACCCCACAGGTCCCGTATAAGGTTTGTGAACACATTCTAAGAATGTTCTCCCTGCTTGGGCAGGCAGAGGTGGGGCTTCTCACCCTACTCCTTTTATATACCTTAGGAAGGGTTTGAGGGTAAGTTAATGGGTCCTGCTTTATCCCATTTCGTAAGAGATGGTCTGTGATCTGGCTTTTGAAGTACGAATAGAGGTTTGCCACCTGAACACAGTACAAAGGAGATTCCGGGGAAACTGAAAGCATATGAAAGATAGAGACTGTATGATACGCAGGTGCACATAGGTGCACATGATGCCAGGTAGGCCAGGAGATGAGGTTGGGGAGGTTGGCAGAGCACAGATGTGGGTATCTCTGGGTCATTCTAAGGGGTCTGTGTGTATGTAACATTTAGGAGGCACCTTGCACCTGCTGCCCTTCACGTTCCTGCTTTCCTGCCACTGGTTCACTGGAAATAATAGGTAATGTTACATGAGTGCTGGTTCTGATGCAGCCTGGTGCTCAAAGCTCTTTAGGCATTATCTTGTTAAACATCCGCAGCCACCTTAAGAAATGGATCCTATTTCTTATCCCCATTTTACAGTTAGGGAAACTGAGGCTCAGAGAGTAAGAACAAACAACGAGGTAGCACGTATTATGTGCCAGGCACTAAATCTGAGTATTTTACATAAATTAACCCACTGAACTGTCACAACAGCCATACGGTCTAGGTGGGTGCTATTTTCATTCGCACTTGCCAGATGTGGAAACTCAAGGCCCAAGGATTTGGGGCCGGTGCTTGTGTCCACAGTCTTATAATTATGATTTGGGGCATGGGCCTGAATTCGAGAGCCTGTGCAGACCCTGTTGATATCAACGAGATCCCCTGGGGATTCGGTGTTTGTTCACCAAACCACATCCTGCCAGGATGTGCGGGTGGCTGGGGACGCACTCATCTGTGAGGGCTTGGCAAGCAGCAGCCTCTGAGACCGCACAGTCAGGGCCGGGAGGGGTGGCAAGGAGGAGGCATAGCCCATGTCGTCCTTTACTGGGTGCTCTGTTAGTGTCCCCTTCCACAGGGGACAATGATGCTGAGGCCCAGAGAGGTTAGGCAACTTGCCTGAGGGCACATAATGCCTGAGAGGGGATTGAACCAGGCCTGGCCTTCAGTTATATATAAGCTTCTGAAAGGGTGGGTAGGAGCCAGCTGGTCCCCCCACCCCCCCCACCCTGTGATGGGGGCAGCTCTGTTCTTGGCAGGGGCAGGGGGCAGGCTGCTGAGCCACTGCCCTCCACTCTCCTGGGCCTCAGCCGTCCCATCTGTAAGGTGATGCTCACACCTCCTGGCTGTGCGAAGCCTGCGCGCCTCCCTCCGGGCTGGCAGGTGGGCCAAGGGGCGCCTCCGCCACCACTCACCGCCCGTGTCTCGGCAGCTGAGGCCGCCGCGATGCCGCACTTCCTGGACTGGTTCGTGCCCGTGTACCTGGTCATCTCCGTGCTCATCCTGGTGGGCTTCGGCGCCTGCATCTACTACTTCGAGCCTGGCCTGCAGGAGGCGCACAAGTGGCGCATGCAGCGCCCCCTGGTGGACCGTGACCTCCGCAAGACCCTGATGGTCCGCGACAACTTGGCCTTCGGAGGCCCAGAGGTCTGAGCTGACCGGCGCCAGGCACCGGGCGCCCTCCCCCGCCTCGCCCAGCCTGGAGACCCTGAGGCAGAGAGAGGACAACGTCTGCTCCTCCGGGCCACCCCTCTGGAGCTGGGCCCTCCCGGCAGAAGCTTCTGGGTGCCCCGGGTGGACACTGGCTGCACCTGCTGAGATAGGGGCACCTGGGTATCTTGAGGTGTCACTGCTGCTGGCCCGGGGCTTGCTTTCCACCTCAAGCCAGTTCTCTCCACACCTGCCCACCCCAGCTCTGGGTTTATCCCCCGCTGGCCTCCAGTGCCTTTGTGCTGCCCAGCACTCTCGCCCCTCGCCTGGAGTCAGGCACCGCTGCCCCTGCCTGTCCTAAGTGTCTAGATTCCCACTTCCCCACTGAATCCCCGGTGACACTCAACAGCCCGCTCCACCCGAGGAGGCAACCTCCCTGCAGCCTCACATGGCAGGCTTCAAAGCTGACCCAAGGGAAAGGCCCTATTTGGAGGGGTGTCTGCTCCTTCCAGTTCAGCCCCACCCCTCTGGACTCAGACTTGGCAATGGTGAGAGTGTGTGACGGGGTGTGCAGAGGGGTGAGACCACAGAGGACGGAGGGGTGTGTGTGTGTGAAAGAGAGACAGAGAGACGAGAGAGAGTCTGGGAGGGGGGAGTGGGGAGGGGGACAGGCAGGTGTGTATGTGTAAGAGGGAGAGCGGGGGCCCCAAGCAGGGCGGGAGGTGGCGGGGACAGGGCGAGCCTGTGATAGGCTGCCCACAGCGGTTCTCACCTCCCTCCCTGTGCCAGGCTTCCCTACTCTCTCCTTCCCCAAGGCCCCTGCCCTGTACTGCAGCCCCCAGCACCATCCCCCTGCCCTCCCAACCCCACCAGGGAGCCCTCCTCCTTTGTGGAACACTGTTGCCTCATTTGGGATGTCGAGTAGCAGCCTGTCTCACTCTCCTCCTCTGGGGCTTCCCTCTTAGTTTCTTGCAATAATAAAGACTTCATGACTATTTCTGCAGGACTGTCTCCTTTCCTGAAGGTAGGGTCATGTCTGTCATCTCACTGGATCTTCATAAAAAAAAAAAAACACATAATAGTGCCATAAAAAACCCTTTGTAGGGATGGGGACACTTATTTCAGAGAGGGTAGGTAAAGTAATTTCTCAGCAGCAGCACTATTGACATTTTAGCCCAGATCATTCTTTTTTTTTATTAAAATTTTATTTTTATTTTTATTTATTTTCAGTGAGAGAGAGACAGAGTGTGAGTGGGGGAGGGGCAGAGAGAGAGGGAGACACAGAATCCGAAGCAGGCTCCAGGCTCTGAGCTGTCAGAGCAGAGCCCAACTCGAGGCTCTAACCCAAGAACCCTGAGATCATGACCTGAGCCGAAGTCAGATGCTTAACTGACTGAGGCACCCAAGTGCCCCTAGCCCAGATCATTCTTTGTTGTGGGAGACTGCCCTGTGTGTTGTGGGATAATGAGCATCTCTGGTTTCCATCCACTAGAAACCAGTAGCTCTCACCCCCTCCCCCTACTTGGGACAACCAAACCAGTAGCTGGAGTACATGAAGCAGAGTACCAGTTAGGATATGGATTCAGGCACAGAGACGCGAAAACAACAGGGCCTTAAACCAAATAGAATGTTCTTTCTCACAGCACCTTTCATGGGAAGTTTTCTGGAGCTGGTCTGATGGCTGGTTCCACACATGTCCAGGGATCTGTGCTTCTCTGTGGCTATTCGCCGTGCCTGGCCTGATGCCTTGGTTGGCAAAATCCAGAGGGCTCGCTTGCACCCCCAGCAGCAAGGTAGGGAGGGAAGTGTGACCCCTTCCTTCCTTGGAGGACACTCCATGATGGCCGTCCCCCTCCCATCCCCTTACATCCTACTGCTCAATACTTAGTCATATGGCTACTTCTAGCTGGAAGGGAGGCTGGGAAGTATATTCTTTAGCTGGGGGGCTGTAGGTTCATTTAAAAGGCCCACCTCCTGTGCTTGCTTTGGCAGTGCATATACTAAAATTAGAACGATACAGAGAGTATTAGCATGGGCCCTTTGCAAGGATGACACACAAATTCATAAAGTGTTCCTTATTTTTGGCACATGCACCTCCATGTTTATAGCAGCATGATCAACAATGGCCTAAGTATGAAAAGAGCCCAAATGCCCATCGATGGATGATTGGATGAAGAGGATGTGGTACATAGATACAATGGAGTATTACTGGGCAATCAAAAAGAATGAAATCTTGCCATTTGCAACTACGTGGATGGAACTGGAGGGTATTATGCTAAGCGAAATTAGTCAGTCAGACAAAGACAAAGATCATATGACTTCACTCATATGAGGACTTTAAGATACAAAACAGATGAACATAAGGGAAGGGAAGCAAAAATAATATAAAAACTGGGAGGGGGACAAAACAGAAGAGACTCTAAATATGGAGAACAAACAGAGGGTTACTGGAGGAGGTGTGGGAGAGGGGATGGGCTAAATGGGGAAGGGGCATTAAGGAATCTACTGAAATCATTGTTGCACTATATGCTAACTAACTTGGATGTAAATTTTAAAAAAAAGTCCACCTCCTTGGGGTGCCTGGGTGGCTCAGTCGGTTAAGCGCCCCACAACTTTTGATTTCAGCTTACGTCATGATCTCCAAGTCTTGAGATCAAGCCCCTCATCGGGCTCTGCACTGGGCGTGGAGCCTGCTGGAGATCTTCTCTTTCCCTCCCCCTCTGCCTGTACCCTGCTCGTGTGTGTGTGTGTGTGTGTGTGTGTGCGTGCGCGCGCTCTCTCTCTCTCTCTCTCTCTCAAAACAAACAAACAAAAACCCAAACGTCTGCCTCCTTGAAAGGGGGAGAACACACGGACACAACTACCATTCTATCGTCATAGGGATTTGCTGAGGTCACAGGGCCGTGGGCTGAGATTTGGACCAGAAATCCTGACCCCAGACCAGGGCTCACTCTTGCACAGGCCCCATCTAAGGAACGAAGGAAGGCAAAGGTGGCCTCGAGGGCTGGAGCTGCTCTTCCTTCAGGGGGCAAACCGGGTCTTGTATACACCATCTTGCAGAGCCGGGCTGGGGTGAGGCCAGAGAGGCGTCTCGGGCTCACACCCAGGTGCCCCCTTCAATCCTGTGCCCTCGGTGCGTCTCTGGCTTCACCCGAGCCCGGCCCTGCTGTGCCTGCCCCTCCGGCAGGGCATTCTGCAGCTTGGAGAGATTTTCCCACCCCCTCTCCGACCACGCGGCTGCCCCTCACTGCCACCCAGCCCTTGTGCAGGCACAAGACACCAAAGTGGAAACAGCTGAAACAAAAGGGTTCGGTTCCAGACTCACACTTGGCTGGAACCCTAGGGCTCAAGGATGTCGCCAGGACATGCCATCTCTCCGTCTGTCTCTTTGTCTCCCTCAGTCCCGGTTTCCTTTGTGCGGGCATTCTCCACCGGGTGGTAAGGTTCCCCTGGGAGTCCCAGGCTCCCACAGCTCTTGGCGCCCTCATTTCAGGGGAGGGCATGCATCTTGTTGCGGTGAAATCTCAGGGGATGAACTCGCATTGGCCCCCAGGGCACATGAGTTGAGGGCGTGGGATGCCCCGATTGCCAGGCAGCTCTGGTGCCCACCACGGCAGCCAGGGGCAGTCAGCCTACTGATCACATGGTCCGAGGAGGGGGGCAGGGGTAGGCAGTGGCAGTTGCCTAAAAGAGGGAACGCGTGCCAGGTGAAAAATAGTGGGACTGAGAATGTTTTACAGAGGAGGAAATAAGTACAGAGAGAAAGAACCCACCCAGGCCATCCAGAGGGTTCCACCACCTGGGTTTGCAGCATGAGGGAGGGGAAGGGTGGACAGGAAAGCCCAGAGTCTGGTGAGCATATGAGTGGGGGCTCTGAATCTGGCTGTCAGGGCGGGCAGGGTGCGGCAGAAGTAGGTGGGCGGGTGAGTGGGCTCTCTGGGGACCCACTGGAGGGTGGAGCCCTTCCAGGGCCTTAAAGATCACCCCCCACAAGAATGGAGGGGGGACCAGCCCCACCCACCGGGTAGCCGGTCCCGATCTGCCTCAGTTTCTCTGGCTGGGCCAGCCCCAATGTATCTGGGCTCCCTTCCCTGAGGGGGATAAACTTCTTATCTTCTGAGGCTCTGGATTTCATGAGCTAAGTGAGCAGAGGTGTGAGGCCTGGGGCTGAGAGCCGGGGCACCAGGGCTAGAAGCTCAGCGCTATTTATTTATCAGAAAACTGTCTCCCAGCGCTGGTCAGAGGCAGGACCAGAAAGGGCCCAAGCACATGCCCTGTGCATGAGTGCAAGAAACATCATAGATCCCAACTCCACTGGCTTGGGTAAGAAGGGGAAGTTTCCATGAGGACACTGGGGTGTTCAGACCCTGCAGGACAGGAAAGTAGCAGACGTCAGGACAACGAGAACCAGGCACTCAGACTCACATCATTAAGAAAAAAAATTTTTTTTTAAATTTATTTATTTATTTTGAGAGAAAGAGAGAGAGCATGAGCAGGGGAGGGGCAGAGAGAGGGAGAGAGAGAGAATCCCAAGCAGGCTCTGCACTGTCCACACAGAGCCCAATGCCGGCTCGAACTTATGAACCGTGAGATCATGACCTGAGGTGAAATCAGGAGTCGGACGCTTAACCAACTGAGCCACCCAGGCGCCCCATTTCTCACACCATTTTTTATTCTTGCTTCTGCACACCTATTTCATGAGTGAGTCACCACCTGACCCCCCGATCATGGCCCTCTGCTGTCCAAGTTTGATATCCTACCCGCTCCAGCCATCGGTGTCAGTTATCTGTCCCTCTCTCTGGCCTCAAGCCCAAGTATCTCACGGGAGGGATTCACTGGCTCATTCTAGGTCAGAAGCCTATTTTAAACCAGTCATCCAAGGCTGGGGCAGTGTCCCGTGTATGGCCCAGCTTGGGTCAGGGCCCACCTGGACCAACATGGCCCCAGGCTGGGGTCATCTCAGAACAAGGCAGTTCTCTTGGGTGTTGGCAGAGGGGAGAGTTCAGCAGAAATCATGTAAATTGCCCCCTGACCCCCAGTCCAAACACACCAAAAAGGCTCTGTTGGACGTGGATTGGGCTGGACTGGCTGGGCCTGGGAGGACCTCAGGCTAGACCCGGCCTACAGCCAGATTGTTGTGTTACCCACCACAGTGTTTTGGAGAAAAAAAAAAAAAGAAAGAAAATTAATTGGCAACATTTATGGCAGGAGATTTCACGTGAAAAATCTTTTTCCGACTCCTCTTCAAAAATAAAACTTCGGGGGCACCTGCGTGGCTCAGTCAGTTAAGCATCTGATTCTTGGTTTCGGCTCAGGACATGATCTCGTGTTTTCGTGGGTTTGAGCCCTGCATTGGGCTCTGTGCTGGCAGCACGGAGCCTGCTTGGGATTCTCTGTCTCCCTCTCTCTCTGCCCGCCCAGCCCACTTGCACTGTCTCTGTCTCTCTCAAAATAAATAAATGAACTTGAAAAAAAAAAAAAAAGACAAAAAAATAAATAAAAAAACTTCTGGCCACACCGGGTCAGAAGAGTGAATGTGTTCAAGGTTATAAACTCATAACCTCGGCAGGGAGGACGTTGACTGTGACCCCACGTGAGGCTTGGGCAGTGGCCAATCCTTCTCAGAGGACGTCTGCCTCTGTACAAGGGCTGCCGAGGAGAAGGCTGAGGCTCAGAGAGGGTCTCCTGCTCTTAAACCTGGGCCCTTTCCCAGTTCCCAGGGCTTCTTACATAAATGTTTATTTACACCTGCTCTTCTCATAAAGAACACAAGAAGATTTCTGTTAAAGAAGCCACAGATACATGGGGTTGAGAAGGAAGCGTTCCAACTCTCACCCATGCTGTCATACTATTACTTATCTCTGAGCTTCCTGGCAGCCAGAGGGAAAGAAGAAACACAAAGAGGTCATTTTTTTCTTTTTATGTGACAGAAGGGAGAGACTGAATCTTCACGAAAGACAAATTTCTGGTTCTAGATACTAAAAAGAAATGTCTCATATGGGATGTTGACACAACAAACTGCATTCTCAGCATTTTTTACAAGGGGGAGGGTTGACCCAGATAGCAGAGCCTACAGAAAGAGGCCAGTGCACGAAGACAGATTTTTTCATCTGCCAGGGCATGCTAGAGGACTGCACTGGGAGCATCTTGAGGTCAGGACCTGACAATAGTAAATCCTATAAAACCGTCCATTTACATTGCACGTCCTTGGGCAAGCTTCCTTGGCTCTCGGACACACACGTGAATTCACCGAGCATTTCTGTGTGCCAGGCACTGAGAACCACAGGTGATTAAAGCCTAGATAAATGTCCACTGCCAGTGCCTGGCATTGTGCTCACCTCATGGCAGGTTCTCCATGGAAAAACAACCTGCCAGTTATTTCCTTATCCCTGCTTCGCCTGCCCCACTGGTTGTGGCAAATGTTAAGGCCCTACAGAGGCATGTCACATACCTGCTCTACCCCAGCACTAGGCCTGGCACCAAGAATACAATGACGAAGAAGAAGAAGTCTCTGTATCAAAGGAGCTCACAAACTGGAGGGGAGGACAGATGTGTAAACGAATTACAAAAGTGTGATTGCAGCAAGAGAAGTATGTACGAGAAACTGAAGACAACCGAAGACATGCCTACTCTCGTGGATGGGGTTTGTCAAGGAAAGCTTCCTGGAGGATATAATCACTCAGCTGGGTTTTGAAGGCTGAATAAGAGTTTTCCCTAAGGGGAAAAGGAGTCAGCAAGTGCAGACCCTTAGAGGCTTGAAAGAACCCCGTCCTCGCTGGAAACTGTGAGTGGTGGGGCGCCTAGGTGGCTCAGTCGGTTAAGCGTCCAACTCTTGATTTCAGCTTAGGTTCGTGGGATTGAACCCCGCATCAGGCTCTACACTGACATCGTGGAGCCTGCTTGGAATTCTCTCTCTCTCCCTCTCTCTGCCCCTCCCCCTGCTCGTGCGTGTTCGGTCTCTCAAAAATGAATAAACATGAAAAACAAAACAAAACAAAAAACACCTGTGAGTGGTACCATGTGTTTGAAGCACAGAATGTCAGTGAGTAAGTCAGTGAGTAAGTGGTGGGAGGGGAGGCTGAG